TGACAGCACTGGTGATGCTCTATATACCGGCCGTGCCAATATTTCTCGGGAAAACGTCACCGAGTACCAGAACAAACTTGTGTCTGAAGTCGAGTCTTTGCTGAACAAAGTCTCGGATTGGGGGCGACTAAATCTAGTCCAGTTTAATCCTCAGAAGACACAAGTTTGCGCGTTTACCGCTAAAAAGAACCCCTTTGTCGTATCTCCTCAGTTTCAAGGCACTCCCCTTCTTGCCTCAGCCAGTATCGGTATCCTCGGAGTCGACATATCGAGTGACGTGCAATTTCGTGGTCACTTGGAAGAGAAGGCCAAATTGGCCTCTAAAAAGCTTGGCGTGCTCAGCAGAGCGGGACAGTATTTCATGCGGGCACACCGCCTGCAACTTTACAAGGCGCAGGTTCGGCCTCACATGGAATACTGTTCCTATCTCTGGGCAGGGGCTCCCCAGTGCCAGCTCCTTCCACTTGACCGCATCCAACGCAGAGCGGCTCGAATCGTCGACGACCGAGCCCTTTCCGATCGGCTAGATTCATTGGCACTGCGAAGAGATGTTTCATCCCTTTGCATTTTCTTTCGCATCTACCATGGGGAGTGCTCTGAGGAATTGTTCGGATAAATCCCAGCCGCCAAATTTCACGAACGCACATCGCGGCAGAACTCCCGATACCATCCACACCATCTGGATGATTGGCGGTCCACCACTGTGCGATTTAGAAGATGTTTTCTTCCTCGCACGACTTCCTTGTGGAATCGATTACCATCAGCGATTTTTCCGGACCGATACGACTTGGGTACCTTCAAGAAAAGAGCGTACTCCTTTTTAAAAGGCCGGCAACGCATCTGCAATTCCCTCCCTGGTGTTGCAGTTGTTCATGGGCGGCGGTAGTCACTTACCATCAGGTGAGCCGCATGCTCGTTTGCCCCCTATCCTATAAAAAAAATACAATTTTTAAAGTTTTTGTCTGTCTGTCTATCTGTCTTCCGTGTGTCTGTCTGTTTGTTCCAGCTAATCTCCGAAATGGTTAGACCGATTTTGACGGGATTTTCACTGGCAGATAGCTGATGTCACAAGGAGTAACTAAGGTTACTTTTATTTTAGAAAAAGAATTAGGGTTCCGCGTAAAAAAATTAAAACCCCAAATAACACGCGGACGAAGTCGCGGGGAATAGCTATTTAAAGTATATAAATACAATCTAGTTATCTATACATCTATACAAATAAATAAAATTGAAGTGTCTCTTTGTAATTTCAAAATAACAGCTTTTTACTAAATGCATATGAAAGTATATATGGTACCTATAACAAATACACAATTTTTAAAAGTTTTGTCTGTCTGTCTGTATGTCCGTCTGTCTGTTTGTTCCGGCTAATCTCCGAAACGGCTTGACCGATTTTGACGGGACTTTCACTAAAAGATAGCTGGTGTTATAAGGAGTACCTTAGGTTACTTACATTTTAGAAAAAGGATTAGGGTTCCGCGCAACATAATTAAAATCCTAAATTACACGCGGGCGAAGTCGTGGGGAACAGCTAGTTGAAAATAAAGTTCATTTTTTCTTAACTTCATTTGTAATCATCCGTTCAAAATCCAATTTATAACGCTTATCTCTAAAAGTTACATATAAGACAATATCTGTAGTGTAATAGTTTCCTTGCACGCGAAATAATAGCTGTAATACAGCTACTATACAGCCTCCTTTAAGCTTATACTACTACTTCACAGCGCTACTAACGCATGTAACGGCTGTATTTTCTGTCTATATAAAGGCTGTATAAGCGCTTGTACAGTTCTTATAAGTAAAAAATTGGCACAAATAATACAATATAGCTATAGTAAAAAATTGGCACAAATAATACAATATAGCTATAGCTATATTGTATTGTTTGTGCCAATTTTTTACTTATAAGAACTGTACAAGCGCTTATACAGCCTTTATATAGACAGAAAATACAGCCTTTAGTATGAAAACGAAATTCAATACAGCTCGTATACAGCTTGCATGCTGCTTGTGCGGTATGACTTTGGTCCCTTGGGAGAGAGGTAAAGCGTAGTGTGGGATGAAGTTCCTAAAGAAACTGTATCCACGATTGGTCATCGCTGCTGGTAATAAAAGGGCTGGTTCTTTTCTAGCTTAAGGCCTAAGTATAGCCATTCAGCGAGAAAACGCAGACAAGCGTTTTTGGAACCATACTACAGGGAGTAGGGCTGAATGATTTTACAGTTTTTAATTTTAGTTATTTTATTATAGTTTTTTTTTAATATTATTTAAGTTTGAGCGTTATAGATTCTATTAATTAATAGTGACTATAACGCTAAAACTTGAGCACAGAGTAATGGAGGCAATAAATGGGACTTAATCACATTTTTATCTATCCTATTCCTATCCTTACAGGATAATATGGGGGAGTTTTGGCGGGAACTTGACCGGCGGCGGTTTGCTTTTGAATTATTGTTTAAATAATGGTTTGAAGTGGACTTTGATATGTAAAACGTGGTGCGATTTTGTGTATTAAGTGTCTGCGCATGTGAACTATTAGTGAAAACTGTAAAACAAGTGCTCTGATGGTGATGTGATTCTCAAAATAAGGTGTGTCTGCTTAGGCGCCTTGAGATACCATCGCCAACCGTCAGCTGTCTGCTGGCTCAAGTTACCGTTAAAATCTCGCGTAGGCTGCACAATGTGACGCATCAACATATTGTGAAGCAGTATACTATGAAGGATAATTATTATAATATATTGTAACTTCAGGCTCAGAAGGGCTAGATCCCAGAGCCGTGAAGCCAGTTATTAAGAAGAAGAAGAAGACAATATGGGTTTAACGCACTGTGAATGATTATTATTAAAAGTAGGTAATATTCGGATTGGGTCGACCTACGCCATCCAAAAGACACGGACATTTTCCATAATATATTTTTCGAAATGATTAAATTAAATGATTTAGGCTTCAAAAACAAAGTAAGTTATAAGGCAATCCTATTTTTTGATTTGCCTAGCTATAATATAATGATTCCTAAGCGCAAGGTAGCACGTCGAACATTTGTCTCCGAATTTTCAATCGATATGCTATTTGATGAATAATTGATGCAATGCCTAGTTATGAAACAGCCTTTTCATAATCTGCCTAATTCCTTGCCTAATTCGCAGCGTTCATGATTTGCCTAATTTGCCTGCAAAATATATATCATATAATATTTAAGCCTAGTAAAATATTTTATTTATATTAACCATGTTGGAAATTCGCGTGAAATGAATAAAAAAAAGTAGCGGGGAAAAGTAGGGAAAAGATAAAGCTTATTGCGTCGGGGAATTATAAAATAAATATCTGCAGCACTAATGTAATACCACAGTAAAAGAAAAATAAATGTCAAACTGTGTATCAAATAGTGTGACGATATGTGGCACGTTCCTGCCATTTTGGCAGGATTGGCCTCTTGTTTTAGCCTTCCTTTGGCATGATCGGTTGACGTTTTATAAAACCTGGCAGTATTGGGGTATTTAAAATAGATTTCATTATGACAACTTAAAATGACGAAAATGGCATCCCTATACTTCGCCAGCATGTTGGGGATTTCCCTGTATTTCTCGATTTCTAGTTATATGTTTGTGTAACATTCAATAACCATTGAATAAAACTATTTTTACGGATTTTATCGCGTTTAATTAACTTATTTTATATTCCCGACGTTTCGGTTGCTTTCCAGCAACCGTGGTCACGGGGGACTGAGGTGATTGACGTCCCGATGTCAAAGTTAACCCGGAGTACCTTCAGCTTTTTAATTATTAATTTTGGTCTGCAGTCAGGTCAGAAGTCTGCAGTTTGTGATCATATCCTAGACGGCCCCCGTCATTACATTAGATTTGATAAACCACAAGTCCTCGCGAAAGAACATCGATTCCTGCCAAGGATGATACGTGAGGCTATTGAAATTAAAAAACATCCTAATTTCAATAGAGAGGGAGGCTGGGTACTACCACCTGCTTGGGATCCTGTAATTCATAAAATTAAAACTAAACCCAAGCATACCACTGTAAGACTTCAAGACACAGTTAGTTCATTCTGCGTAGATCGGACCAAAATTAATAATTAAAAAGCTGAAGGTACTCCGGGTTAACTTTGACATCGGGACGTCAATCACCTCAGTCCCCCGTGACCACGGTTGCTGGAAAGCAACCGAAACGTCGGGAATATAAAATAAGTTAATTAAACGCGATAAAATCCGTAAAAATAGTTTTATTCAATGTGTAGTGTTCACGTAAATATAAGAAATCATTATTCAATAACCAATTTAAAAAAAATGATAATTTTAAAACGAGTTAACACAACTTGGTTAATATTTTAATCAGTCATAAAAGAGACGTATTTTAGTTTGGTATCGCATCAGATTTCATGGTGGTAAGATCTTGTTAATAATATTTCGTGGATGATAGTAATTTAAGATGGCGGTGATGTAGCGAAATTATGAAAGGGCATATAGATCGAAGTGGGGGCAAGATCTTTTACTTTCATCATGAATCTCCAAAGCTAAAGATTATCCAGACTGTGTAACTGCAAATTGGCACCCTGGCTGTCCGCTTTAAAGGAGCATGCCGCTACTAGTAAACATCAAAAAGATATAAGTGGATTCAACACGCAAAAGAATATTCTCTCAAATAAACTTAATTAAGACAAAAACACGAAACAGATTTATAAACAGACATTTAGCGTCTATCTTGTACCTTAAACAAGGCATTGGTGAGCATGGCGATTGCATTGCATTCCAACCAGTTAAACATATGTTTAATTTTAATTTAAAAAATATAGCATTCATATGTGTATTTGTACTTTTCTTAGTTTAATACAATGGTAAATAAAGTTGGCAGTATGTAGGCATTTTTCACTATAGACTTTGGCAGGATTTGGCAGGTTTTTAACGAAAGTAAGGCAGGATCTGTATTTTAAAGTTGGTCACACTGGTATCAAACCTACATATTTATTTATCTTATCTATGGATCAAACTGTCAAAAGATGTGTTGCTCATTTCTCGGCTTTGGAATACAAATATAAATTTTTCTAAATGGTTTGAACGCACCCCAATTAATATATCAATTTTGAAAACATGATTGCATTGTAGTGTAAATCCTAATTTTTGGATTTAATGATAAGCTTTGAAAATGTTATTTTTACCATAATAAACTCCAGATTCTGCAATGTATTGGACTAAGTCTTTCTCTTGACAACAAAATAAGGAAATAAAACCTTCGGTGTATGAATAAAAATATAAAGATTAAATATGTTTTCCAAGTCTCTAACTAGTAAGGATACGTTCCTTGTGCAGACTAAAGCAGCGAGAGAAGAACGAGCATTAGAAAAAAGGCGCGAGCAATCTGCAATTAGAATCCAAGCTATAGTGCGAGGTTGGCTCGCCAGACAGAAATTTGTTAAGCTTATAATGTAAGTTTTCATAAAATTTATACTAAATTTATCACTACATAATTTTCTTCCTAGTAACATCCTATAAACCGTACGGCTTTGTTACTTTAAGCTTACACTCCTTTTGTAAAAACTTTATTTGATTTCATATCTAATAATAACGTTATACTGCAGTATTATTGTCAATTACATCCATTTTATTATGCTTGGTTAGGTTCCACTCCTAGACACAGGTCAACTCTTATTTCTAAGAGGTTTTGAGTGGCAGTGGGATGTATATGTTACAGTCAAAGCTCTGGTCAATACCACTTTACACTGTAAACAATCAAGCAAAAGTAGTTTTGACTAAGGACATTTGTCAATACCAAATAACTGATTTTTGCAGTCAAAAGTAGTTTTGACTAAGTCTGTTGGTCAAATCCACTTTTAACTGCAAAAATACTGTTTTTGACCAACAATGTTAGTCAAAACTTCTTTTGACTTATACTTATTATTGATATTAAAAAGTTCAATTTCTTCAATATTATAATTTATATCATTATAATGTATGCGGCATTATAAATATTGCAGTCAAAAGTGGTTGTGACTGGTTATGAGTTTTGACTGTGACATATATAAACTGTAACTTCTTTTACTTTACTGCATTTAAGTAAAATATAATTGTAATGTGGTTACAACTATCAATTTTAGAAAAGAATTTGATGAATTGCTTCCTGAATCTACTCCACATGGATCACAAGATGGACCTACACATCCTCTTGAGCTTATTCCAGCTCTGGATATATATAGAATCACATGCCGTTTATTTCTGGTATTTAAACAACAAAGGGATAGAAAAAGATTTGAAAAGCTTTGTAAATATATAGTTCAAAGTTTACATTCGGAGTCTGTAAAGTTATCATATGTTGGAGTGTTCCTAAACAAAGAGTACAGGTAAATTGCTTTAATCCTTTTTAATATATTTTTTTTGGTAAAACAATTATGAGGTGTAAAGTAAAATACAGTTAGTTAAATGCTCTGTTCAGGTTACTTAATTGTAAATTTGTTGCATTTAATATATTGCAATATTATAACATTATTATTTACTTATGAATAAAACCTACTTTACATAATGGTAAAAAAATAGATGTTTCACTGATTTCATAATCATTGCTATTTTAGGTAGAGGGGGGTGAACTATGACTGCGGAGTAAAGGGAGAGGTAGTGATCTCTTCCCTGTACTTCCAACTATGGAGACTTAATTTTTTTTTATAATTTATAAGTTTTCAGAGTTAAGCTTAAGAAACCAAATAATTCATTTAGATAGCGTAGGAGGGGGGTAGGCGAAGGGTAGACCCCCATCAATTATTGCCCTCTGGGATACTTTGTTTTTAAAAAATAGGGTGTTGGGGTACTCCAGTGTGAAACTGCTGTGAACAGGTTATGTAAAATCCTGTAGTTTTTGAGAAAAATAAAACCTCTCTTTTTATTTATTACACACTGGTAAGCATTTCTAAGTATCTTGCTGTGCAAAAGGGCAAGGAAAAAAACGTGTAGGTAGTGGAGGGAAGGGATTAAATGACTGCTGCTATGGGATGGCCCAAGGGCGATCCTAGCTGCATGTCAACCTGCTGTTGTTGATTTTACTTGCGAAAACAAAGTCACTTTAAAACTACTAGTTTTAGATATTATTATAAGTAGAAATAATGTAACAGTTATAGACCAAAATACCAAGAAAAAATGAAAATCACTTTTTTCTTTAGCAGTTTTCTGTAATAATTTTCATGTTTCAAAGAATTATATAGTACAATATTAGAAAGAGGCAAGTGCTACCATTGGTAAATTTGTATTTATCTCTTTCTATCAACATATTTCCTGTTGTTTTTATTGGGCAATAAATAATTTCCTCAACTATAACAAAACTATTAAAAATAATTTCTTGACAACTACACATTTCTGTGCAAATAGCCTAGTGCATGCATCAAAGCATTATCATACATCAATTGAGATGAAAATCACCAACAATATTACGCTGCACCCGACATTAATACCAACGCCTGTTTTATTTACCTTATGTTCATTGCATTCTGAAATGTTATACGTAAAACCAGACGTGAACATGTATAGGATCGCCCCTGTCACTACATTAAATTTGATAGACCACAAATCCTCGCTAAAGAACACCAATTCCTTCCAAGGATGATTCGCGAGGCTATTGAAATCAAAAAACATCCTAATTTCAATAGAGAAGATGGCTGGGTGCTACCATCTGCTTGGGATCCCATAATTAATAAAATTAAATACCAACCCAAGCATACTACTGCAAGACTTCATGATACTGTAAGTTCATACTGCGTAGATCGGAACAAAAATTAATAATTTTTAATCTGAAGGTAGCCGTGGTTAACTATGACATTGGGACATCATACACCTCAGTCCCTCCCCCCCCCCCGTGACCATGGGTGCTGAAAAGTGCCCGAAACGTCGATAATATAAAATAAGTTAGTATATGTGATAAAATCCGTAAAATTAGTTTTATTTAAATGTGTAGTGTTCATGTAAATATAAGAAATCATTACTAGACTTGTTTATCGAAATAAGCAAGTCTAGTTATAAGTGGAACTGTATTAATATAATATAAATTCAATTTTATTTATTCTGATTGTAATATTTAAGCATATTTTCCTAACTATTGAATAGTTTACTCTTGCGTAAAACATGAATAAAAATTTATTTTCTTGTTTCAAAACCCACAAGCACTTCTAAATATATAATTACTTTAGTTGTAATGAACTGTAATAATGTAACAAACTGTATAAAATAAAATCTGAATTACCAGTAGAAAGACATGTGAAGTTCGCTAATATATATTAGGGCAGCACAACAGACAATATTTCCTTGCTTTAAACACTTTTGGAGGTGTGAAGAGGCATGTTACGTGCAGTGCAATATGTGTAGGCATAACTACATTTTACCAGTAGAATTATTTTATTTTCAATCTGACATGCAAAAAAGTTTAAGTGTTAATATTTAACTTTAATATTTTCAGTCTTCGGTGGATAGCCCACATAAAGGACCTTCTTTACAAATGCTGTTTATATCTTGAAGAGTTGAAGCCAGAATCACCAATAGATATGCAGAGTATACTTATCCATTTGCACACACTTATAGCTTTTACAGCTACCAATAATTGGGCTCTGACAAGGCTTAAAAATTTTGACAAACTTAGAGGTGGGATGACACAACTATGTGCTAACATTATGGGGTCATTATTCCATAAAGGTTATTATTTAACATTGAAAGTAAGTACTAATACATACTGTACCTTATGAGAATGGGTGTAAACCATGTATTATTAATATTATTATTATATATTATTCTCCAGTCACTCCTACTTCGCGGTTTGTGCCGTGAAAAAGTAAGCCTTAAGAATATCTCATTAACAGCAATAGTGACACTGTCTCTGCGGCCACTTGTATCTGCCCAGTTTTCTGAGAAACTACTCACTATGTACATTATACAGATTTTGTCTGTGCCTACACTTGTGTTCCACATGCAACAAATATCTCCAGAGGTATGTAACTCTAGCTTATTATATTTTCTAAATCAATAATATTTATTGGCCTTTTAAGCTTATGACTACTGTATGACTAGTGGTTAGGTAACTCAGTGGGTAGTAATTCTTATTATGTAGTTATGTCACTTGAACAAGGGCTAATAATTTTCTACTCACCAGATTTCGCTAGTTGACAGTGAGGTAGTTTTTTGTTACATAATGTAATTTAATTGAGAAGTTGGTTTTTAATAATAGTTGAGAAGTTTCAAGAGTATTATATTAATACACAAAATAATGCCTCAGTTAAAATATAGCTTAAAAGAAACAGTAACCTTTACATTTTTCGAACTCAAATTAACTTCCCCACTATGAAATCTGTCAATTATTATACCTCACTTTTAAATGGCGCCGCCCTGGTGGCCAAAAAAGTCGTAGATTGGATTTGAATCCCAGCTAAATTGATTGTTTGCAACAGTTTTTGCTTGGATGAAATTAGTTTTGTACTCAAGAAACTGGTGTTTTTTTTTATTGATTTTTATGACACTCACCCCTGTTTGGCCTTGTTATCTGAATGATTAATGTTTCAGATAGCAAAATATTATATGCATCTTCTCAAAAAAAAATATCTCTTATCTAAGCAACATATTTTAAACCTTGCAACTATTCCTAATTCATGCTTTGCTATTAAAATGTCGATTGTATCCTTGTTAAGCATTAGGCCTTACACCATTCATAGTCTACGTTTAAAGGTGGCATCTAACTTCCACTTCAACTTACTGATTAGTTACATCTGATATAAAATATAAATTATGTTACTATTAAAAACAAAATATTGCTATTTTTAAATTGTTTCAATTTGTATATCAATAAATTGAACTGACTTCTATTACTTTTACAGTCTATATCAGCATACCGCGCGCATTCAGTGTTCGACAAATGCCTGGAGTTTTTGAGCACTGATCAAAATATGCGCATTGTGTTCAACACCTTAGAAGGAAATTACGCATTATGCTTACTTGCAAACCTGGTGCAGTTGGCACACTTGGAGAGAGAGCATGCACTGCCTGAGTCCTACTACCCCACTTTTGTGGTAAGTCTGAACATCATCAAAGTAAATCCCTCAAAGAGCGTGTATGTCATGCTTAATAGACAACTGATGTTTTAACACAAAAAAATGCCTCTAAATTTTATGAATATTAGGAACGTCCATGTCATTATTGCGTAACTAGGATTTTCAATTTTTTTTATTTTTTTTGTTTTTAATTCTCAAATTGAATAATTATTATATTTAGTTATATTCAGAAACTAAGCTATAAGGCAAATTATTGTTTATAATAAACAATTTATAATAATATATTTTATTGTTTCTTTGTTTTTTAGTTAGTGGTGACAAGATTTTTAGATTCTTGTCAGCAATATGTTGTTTGCAAAAAAGGCAATCTTAGCAACTGGCATCCCATACTTGGCTGGTTTTCCCAAAGCTTTGATGCTTACTTGCCCCCTACGATGGGAAACCTACGCAATCAATTATCACTGCTATGGGGAGCTCCTTTATTGAAGAAGATAATGGCGACACCACTTAAAGAAATGGTGGATGCTGGTGTGAGTGGGGAGGAAGGGGCTGGACCTTCACAACCATCAACTCCCATTCAAAGTAGTAACCCAGCAGCGTTTATAAGGAGAGCAATTGAAGCCAGGACTAACAGGTAAAGTAAATTAGTTTAACTTACCTATCAATTTAATTTTATATTACTTCATGAATTTGATCTTTACTATCAGAAGAGAAAATATAATCTATCTAAAATAAAGACCAATTAAAGCAAGTTTATGTAGACTTTGAGGTCATTGAGTTGTCATGTATGGATGTCAAACAAAAATGGATAAGGGTGACAAATGAGCACACAGTCCATCTGATGTTAAGTGGTTGCTGCGGCTCATAGACATCTACATCTATCCTCGATAACGAATCAAAATGCGAATGCGTTGTCATCCGTGAGGACTAAGATGGAATGCCTCATTTCCAAGTAAAAAGGGTATCCGGCTCTTTACACTCACCATACGAAACACAGCTACTGTTTTACGCTGGTATTCTGTAGAGCGTGGTCCTTCCCCGGTCGAGCCGACCCATTCGTACTACAACTATACTACTAATACAGCTGCAGCATGGCTCTACCACATTGAAAACTATAGATGTATAGAAGATAATGAAAGACTGCTTGTACCAATTTATTATAGCTCCTAAAAGTTAGATAAAAGTTACTGAGTGTGCGTGGTGAATGTGTGTTATAGATCTAATGCAAACAAGAATTATAGAAAACTGGGCTCACCTGACTGTACCAAAGCAGCTTTAATTTGCTCCATGTACCACACGGCACTGCAAACACTGACGCAAGTTAAATTGGACATACTTACAGGTAAACTATTTTTTGTTCATGTGCTTGATGTGACAACCTTGTGTGTGATGTGATAAGAAATAATAAAAATGTATTTTAAACTAGCTGTTCCCCGCGACTTCACCCACGTGTTATTTGGGGTTTTAATTTTTTTGCGCGGAACCCTTATTCTTTTTCTAAAATAAAAGTAGCCTAAGTTACTCTTTGTGACATCAGCTATCTGCCAGTGAAAATCCCATCAAAATCGGTCCAGTCGTTTCGGAGATTAGCCGGAACAAACAGACAGACAAAAACTTTAAAAATTGTATTTTTGTTATTAGTACCGTATATACTTTCATATGCATTTAGTAAAACGCTGTAATTTTGACATTACAAACAGACCCGTCAATTTTATTTTTTTATATAGATTTAAGATTAAAGAAGAGTTTAAGTGTATATACACAAACATATTGATTTGTCTATTTAAAAGTACACTTTGTAATTATGTCATAGTTTTTAGTGTCAAATTATCATTTTATTTGTATATTTTTAATAATGATCATGTAATGTAATTTAAAATCGAGAATCGAACAATTTTTAACGCTTGGATTTCACGCTTGTTGAGTGGAGACAAGTGCTGAGTTCCGCTCGGATCGAAAAAATATTGCTTTTTATTATACTTCATATTTTTTTCACTTATAACATTTTTTCTTAAACGCAATTATAAATCACAGCATAAGAATTTTAAGGATTTATTGGAGGTTGAATAATACCCAATTACGCTGCTCAATTTTGAGAAGTCAAAGTGACTAGATACCACGAGAAAATGTCTCATAGATGGCTGGCACATGCGGCGTGAAGTTTTAAAAACAATAAAGACAAGTGCGTTATATTGCACGCCTCATAACGCGAAGCGTTATTAGATAGTGATCTCTCGATACGTCATACTCTCGATACGTCAAGGTCAAGCAATTTTGTGTTTTTAAATTGCTTCTATCATAACCATATTGCACTTATACGATAATATGAGTAGCCGTATATCAAGAAAACACTAATTAATCCATCTTATATTTACTAAAAATTATTTTATATTGCTACTTTGAAAAAAAATTTTTGTATTTGGTCATGATAACTCCCGAAAAAATTGACGTATCGAGACCGGGTTTTTTTAGTAGCTTGAGAATGACATCAACTGGTTTCGTATTTCTAATAAAATGATTTTCAATTTTTATAAGTTTTATTGCTATTAAAAATTTAAAGGCGCTTTCATATTTTTTGTGCTGTATTAACAAAAAGCAAATCTTACAGGTCTGTGCAATCAAGATGAAATTCTATACACGCTGTGGCAATTTTTGTGCACATTGGGTCAAAATTGCGGCTTAAAGTCATTCCTTGATCTTCTAGCTGTAAATACAAAGACATCTGCACCGGAATTCCAAATGTTGATACTCTTTGCCGATTGCATGACCCATTACGTTACGTAAGTATTTCAGTAATCTTAGAGTTATTATTTAATAAAATTGTATTTATAACGTAGGTTATTTCTGCATTCAGGGTCAGGCCTTGAATTATTGAAAGATAAATGGAGCAAGAACAAGCAGCAGTTTTTGTTTTTCATACAAGCGGGTTTTCTCTCAGTGTTTAAATAACCACATTCACACTATATTCACAAGATTCATTTAATCTTCTACACTAATTGTATATGACATAATGATGTATTAAAACTTTTTTTTCAGGATTTTAGACGATATGGAAATGTACGAGCAACAGGATCCATTCAAATTGCAGGATTTCATCGCTATGTCCCAATTTTTAAATATGTTTGTATATAAAACAATTATGGGACAGCTGTTCGGTGAGCATTTTTATATTTATTTATTAGCTATATCTCAGAGAATGCATATAAGACGACATATAAGAGGTATTACTTCAAGAGAATTCAATGCACATCATGGCACAATATTTCAAACAAACTCAGATATTGAAACCTCAACTGCTGATTAGCTAATACTTTATTACATTTTATTATATATGCTAGTCTGCTGCAGCTATACTATGGTTTTAGCACAAATGGGTCAGCTCGACCGGGGAAGGTAATTGCTCTCACAATACCAGCGTAAAAAATCAGCTCAATGCTGCTGTGTTTCGTATGGTGAGTGTAGAGAACCGGAGACCCTTTTTACTGAAAACGAGGCGTTCCATCTTAGTCCTCAGGGGTGACAAGGAATCTGCATTTTGATTCTTGTTTGAGGATAGATGTAGATGTCTATGGGCCACAGCATCCACTTAACGTCAGGACTGTGTGCCCGTTTGTCACCCTTATTCTATAAACAAAAAAATTATACGTCTCGGGATGCACAACCCTCCACCTCCCATGGCCCCACCAACCTTGCGCTTATACGGGCCGAATCTCGAGAAATGCACGCGGTATTGCACGAGGCTCTTTCCCACGTGCACGGCTGATCGTCGGCTATATACGTGTGTGTCCTCTCCATGGCAGTCCTCCGTGTGTGCTATCCAAGCGCAAATTCGCACAGCCTTCCAAAGCTCTCCTTACCGTCCGCGAGTTCCGGGTAGTAAACTGGGCCTAACCTTTCGCGCACCTTTCCATCCATCATCTTACACCGCAGGTCATCATAAAGCACACACTCCGCAGGACATGGTGCCTATGCTGGTAGGCCGCTCTGCACTCACACATACTCGATTGAGCCATTTTCATATTGAACAATCTCTTCTTGAAACATCCATACCCACTGAAGATCTGTGAGACTTGGTAGTCCGGTACGAACCTAATTTGGAATGAGTCACACCGCCACATCCGGGAAAAGCGAAATAATTCCCTGCTATTCGTGTCATTCATTCAACGTTCCTGCTATGCATTCATAACTTCAGCCCGAATTTCGCGCTTACGACTGCTCAACTCCCCATCGTAACGACTCAGCACGTATGACCTACAGATCGGTCGGAAAAACGCCGGCTAATACCGGAAGCGCCGCAGTACTTATCGTCCTGTAGCCCTTTGTCAGCAACATGAGCTAGGATCTTTGCGATCTGAGCAGTGCTGTGTACACTGTATAATTCCCGATATGGTTAACCCAAACGGGCGCAGCATATGTCACTATTGGAACATAAGTTCCCTTGTACAGAAGACGAAGGGCCGGGTAGCGCACACCCCAATATATCGCCGACACGAGTGACATCTTCCCAAAGCATCTCCCAGCCATTTCTCCCATATCCTTGGCGTGCTGAAAAAAGAACAGACTCGTGTCTAACGTGACACCCAATACCTTGTTCGACATTACTTTATCGACTCCGTCCCCATCCTGATAACAGGTGGTCGCTGGAACTTCCTTTAATAGTCATGGTATATGATTTCGCGGAGGCGAAGATTTGCCGGTTCCTTTTGATGATTCCAGCTCCGGTGCAGATTTGGTCGCTCTCTATATATCAGCTCTGCAGTTCGCATGTTTTTATATAGTATAAGGGTGACAAACAAGCACACAGTCCACCTGATGGTAAGTGGTTGCTGTGGCCCATAGACATCTACATCTATCCTCTATTACAAATCAAAATGCAGATGCGTTGTCACCCGTGAGGACTAAGATTTAATGCCTCATTTCCAGTAAAAAGGGTCTCCGGTTCTCTACACTCACCATACAAAACACAGCAGCGTTAAGCTGCCATTTTACGCTGGTATTCTGTGCCATACTACTAATATTGCTGCAGCATCGCTCTACCACGTACAAAAACGTCGCCTTTATCAGAAATGTCACATCATCTGCATACGCCAACATTTTCGTGTTGCGGGGGAATGGCAGCCTCAACAAATCATCCTGCAGTAAATTCCACAGGGTCGGTCCAAATATAGATCCCTGCGGGCAGCCCATGGTCGAGTGAAATAATCCACCAACATGCAGTAGATGTTAGGTAGAACCCCCCCTCGTTTAGCCTTCAGCAGTATCATCGGCCACCATGCATTATGAAATGCTCCCGATACTTCTAAGAAGACGGCTTGTACATACTTGCGGTGTGACTCGCTCGCAGTACTAAGCACATCTTGCAGCGCCGTTACTGTGGACCGACCTGGCGAAAACCCATGTTGGTAATCCGATATAGCCCTCACCAAGCTCGGGGCACACCGTATCAAATCATGCTCCAGCAATTTCCCAAAGATGTGGAGGAGTGTTATCGGGCGATACGCTTTGGGATCCGTTGGCCTGTCTTTTCGGAATAACAATTCCGAAAGGTAATGACAGGTAAGAAAGGAAAAGTAATTCCATTCTTCGGGGAAAGCCCTCTTCCATTTAGCATACACACAATGAAATTCCCTAGCCACAGCTCTACACGTTCTTAACAAGTTTTGCACAAATCCAATCCCGGAGCAGTGTTGGGCTAAGCCCTGATTATGCTCTCCAGACACCCCCAATGGCAGGGGGAACGGGAGCCGGCCAAGATGGGGTGAGAGCGGCCATAAGGTGCACCCGCCCGTAGTATTCAGTATCCTTGGACACTTCGTCGTCCGGACACAGCGCCCCGAGCAAGTCCCGCATGGCCTCCTTCAATTAATATTTTATTTTTCATTATGCCATATTTATTTCCTGTCGTAAGCTATCCTTTTATGCATATTACCTGTACAAAATAATTTCGATGTTTCACATCTGCCAGGCTCACAATTTTTTTTATGCACTTTCAGATCTGAAGAGCATCCAGACAAACGAGTTGTTCAGTTCGCTACACACGCTCCTGCTGGTGCTGTACCGGCGCGACTGCCGCCGTAGCTACACACCGCCCAACCACTGGCTCGTGAAGGAGATTCGAGAGGGACAGTTTATGGCTGATCTAGAGAAGGGGAAGAAGCCTCAACAGGTATACTACTAGTAAGACCTCCACACTTCATTTTTAAGGGTAGTGGAACTTTAAAGAAATATTTGGAATTTGATAAATATTCTAACAACACCTTTTGTCTACTCTTATGTGATATCAAATCTAAAAATGTCTTTCCTTCTTTCAGGTGCTAGTGCAGAAGACCCCGCACATGATAGCGCATGGCGAACGAGTCAGACTGTTCAGGCGAGCGGTTGCCGACGAGAAGGTAAACTTTGACTTTCACTTTAATCACATGTTTCTTTTTTTTATTAGAATATTGCGGCATGATTACAATTGAAATATTGAACCTTTACTTAGTCTTAAATTAAAAATGATTACAGTTTTCTCACTGAAAAATCAAACTAAGTGTAGTTTTTATTTTAACTTGACATTAGTTTTTAACAATCTCATTCATAAAACCAAATACCTAATAATCTATATTGATATTGGCATCAAAAAATTCCAGATTCAGTAAGATAGTCTTGCAGTAGCAATTTTATTTCCTCCTCCTTATCGGTTCATAAATGGTCTACTGTTAGATATGACCCTCATTCAGTTATCCGTAATCGCCACGCTATGCCGGGAATAGCCGACTGCACTACAAGATAGATATTTTATAATACAATATACTTGGTATTTTTCATAGTTAACGCTTACGACACTTAAAGGTTGAGATAGGGTGATGATTTATTTACCCTATCGTAATATGATAGTCTAACGGGTGCTGCGCGCGTGGTCGGCCTACTGGTAGTGGCCGTGTATGTGATCAAATTATGGTCGCTGGCGCCGACCCCCTCGTGTACTTGCCACTCAGCAACGTGGACATCTCCAATGGACAGCGTAAGGTCTACATTCGAATCTCCTCCAGGTCCGCAGAATGTATAAGGCTGGTCAGGCTGATTTGCCAGTGTTAGCGCCTGTGAAAATATGAAGTCCTCCATCAACTGTCTTCGGTACACTACATTCTGACCTCTTCCCACATAGTGCGGGCGGATAGCATGCCAAAGTGGCGAGTGCGCATTGGCGTCGAGGCCGATGATAACCCTTCTGCCCTTCAGACAACTCAGGGTGACCTCTAGCTGGTGCATGTGGTCATGGATGGGGTCGCAAAATTTGCCCACGAGTCGCTACACGACCTTTCAAGGACGGGAATATTTTGACACTTCCGTCGCTGTTTATTATGACAATATCATTTACGCACGGAAAAATATAAGTATGCTGACACCACGTAGAGGTCCCATCAGTTTACGTGACGCACCACACAAAACTCTTTGCTGAGGTGACTCAGCACAGCTGCTCCAACACGTGACATCCACATAGTCACAAGGTTCCACCACGTCCCAGCCAACGTAAAGACGGTTATGACCTATCAGCACATCTCTTAAGGCGGACGAGCACTGGAAAATCATTGTAGTCGGCCTGCTTCCTCACCAAGATTTCTTGAATGCTACTTTGCAGTCCTCTTTAACTTTTCTCTCGCTCCAGCCACAAGCAGCTCGTATAAGCCACTTATGACGTCTTCATTTTTTGGGTCTTCTTCATAGCCCCTAAGGGCAACCAGGGGAAGGCGCTGTCTCAGACACTCTCAAAGATGGAGGGGCCTCAGTTTCAGCCTCTCAGCCGCCTCCTGGGACGTGGTCTGGATTACGACACCTGCGTTTCCCACTTTCCTCAACTTATCGATCTGCAGACCGCTCTTCTTAGGATTGACAGCATTCTTCAGCTCCAGTTTGGTATCTTCTGCAGTCTTTATTGGTCCTTCAGCTTCTGCCGGCTAAAAGGCGACGACTGGGCCTTTGCTAACAGTCATCAGAACCTGATCTGCCTGCCCCCTTTGGCAACCTCAGTGCCACAGAGTACGAGCGTTGCGGTGCCTCGTCCGTCACGTGGCAAGGAACTGCTCCTGCCTCGACCTGCGCCAGTCTTCCTTCAGCTCCAAGTTTCTCCTTTTCAGCCCTTAATTCTTGCCAATTCCAGTTCCGACATATGGACCTGCATGGTCGCCACCATGGCAATGAGGTCATGGCCGTATGCAGCAACCTTGTTCACCTCAGGCTTGTTTAATTTAGACCTGGGTCCAGTAACAATGCTCAAGATGTCCCTCACTGCTTCACGTACCTGGTCGATGACATCCAGCTTGGATGCGGTGAAAGCTTTAAAGCTCCCCCTTACCTTGGACAGTCCTCCTCTTCCAATTCAGGAGCAGACCCTTTGACATCTCTGGTCGATGTAGACCTGCCACCGGGGCCACACTCCGGCGAAGCTCAGTGCGCTTGCCCACCCTTGCTCGCTGGGAAGATGGCTGCACCTCTTCCGGTAATACGCCGTGTACTACGACTTTGATGCTCCGATCTGGTGATCCACTTGCGCAATTTCTCGGGAAGCTCATAGCTTAGCTTCGAAAGATGCGCTTTGTGCCAAACCCGATCGAAGGCCTTCGCTATGTCCAAACTAACGGCCAACACCTCCCCCTTGGACGCCACTGCCTCCGCCAATTTATGAGTTAGGTAACCTAGAAGATCACCTGAGCTGAGCGACCTCGACGGAAACCGTACTGGCGGTCACTAATCAGTTGGTGATCCTCAAGGTACCGTATGAGCTGGCAGTTAATAACGATTTCCATTATTTTGGAGAGCAAGGAGGTGATAGCAATAGGACGGATCTGAGTGGTCGCCTTTTTTAGGGATCGGGTACACTAAAGCTCTCTTCCATGAATTCGGGACTACGCCTAGAGAGTAGGAGTACCGGAACAAACGCGTTAAAACCGGTGCCAATTCCGAAGCACACTTGTTCAGCACAATAGGTGGGTCTCCATCAGGCCCACTCGATTTGTTGACGTCTAGGGAGAGGAGTGCTTAACGCACCGAGCGCTGTGTAAACAGCACTTCCTGTATGGAGCACTCACACCGCGGCATAGTCGGCGGTGTGTTCCCCCCGTCATCTAGAGTCGAGTTGGATGCAAAAAGAGAGCCTAGATTAGATAGGCTTTCTCCTTTGCGTCGTGGGCCTGTGAGTCGTCTACCCTGTGCAGAGATGGCAGAGAGGACTGACAGAAGTTCCCTGGGACAGCCTTGGCGAGAGACCAGTATGCACGTATTCCCGAAGGCAGGCGAACTAGTTTCTCGCCAATTCTGCCGATGTGCTCTGACTTTACCTTGGCAATGACACTTTTAAAGGACCTGGAGGCGGAATTATACTTCTTTTTAAGAGCGCTGGTATATACATCCCCGGACGTTGATGCTCAGCTCAGCCCCGGTGATGCAATTTTAAAGGAGTGACAAAAACAATGGCTGAGTTCTGCCTCCGATAGGCACCTCAGATGATGGAATAAATAATTCCGTCCCCTAAAGTATCACATCAGCTACAGAATCAGCAACAACTTTGGTATCATCCGGCGAGACACAAACCTGTCCCCAAGGGTAGGATGTAAAAAAAAGACCGCATCCTGTCCCAATCGGCTGACCTATAATGCCAAACACGGCGGCAAGCTGCAGATCGCAACTGCGAAGGTAGCGTGACTGGCACCGTACTCTGGATCAGACAATGGTCCGAAGAGCCAAGAGGGGCATCGACGGAGACCTGATATCCGTCCGTATGAGAGTTCAGCACAAGGTCCAACAGGGAAGGTACATGATCCTCCACATCTGGGATACGCGTAGGCGGAGTAACCAGTTGTGTCAGACCATATGCCAAAGCAAAGTTATAAACAGATCTACCAGCATATCGGTTAAATGGGAACCAACCCATTCAGCGTAGTGGGCGTAAAATCACCGAGAATGACGATCTCTGGGACCTGTTGTAGCATGGAATCTGCAGCCATTTGGACGTGCTCGATGAGTCGGTCTGTGTCGGCATTACCGCTGTGGGAACTATAGAGGCACCCGTTGACGCGAGGATGGTCGTCGCTATCTACGCGCAGCCATAAAATGGACAGGTCCGTACCTTCAAGACTACCCAGGCGTCGAAAACTGATGTCAACGCCGTGTATATGTGTTATTGTGGTACATTACGGTACAGTACGGTGCGGTGTGCGCAGGTGGTGCTGGGGCTGACGGAACGTGCGTGCGTGTATGTGTTGTTGCGGTACAGTACGGTGCGGTGTGCGCAGGTGGTGCTGGGGCTGACGGAACGCGCGTGCGTGTGTGTTGTTGCGGTACGGTACGGTGCGGTGTGCGCAGGTGGTGCTGGGGCTGACGGAGTGCGCGTGCGTGTGTGTTGTTGCGGTACGGTACGGTGCGGTGTGCGCAGGTGGTGCTGGGGCTGACGGAACGCGCGTGCGTGTATGTGTTGTTGCGGTACAGTACGGTGCGGTGTGCGCAGGTGGTGCTGGGGCTGACGGAACGCGCGTGCGTGTATGTGTTGTTGCGGTACAGTACGGTGCGGTGTGCGCAGGTGGTGCTGGGGCTGACGGAACGCGCGTGCGTGTGTGTTGTTGCGGTACAGTACGGTGCGGTGTGCGCAGGTGGTGCTGGGGCTAACGGAGCGCGCGTGCGTGTGTGTTGTTGCGGTACAGTACGGTGCGGTGTGCGCAGGTGGTGCTGGGGCTGACGGAACGCGCGTGCGTGTATGTGTTGTTGCGGTACAGTACGGTGCGGTGTGCGCAGGTGGTGCTGGGGCTGACATAACGCGCGTGCGTGTATGTGTTGTTGCGGTACAGTACGGTGCGGTGTGCGCAGGTGGTGCTGGGGCTGACGGAACGCGCGTGCGTGTGTGTTGTTGCGGTACAGTACGGTGCGGTGTGCGCAGGTGGTGCTGGGGCTGACGGAGCGCGCGTGCGTGTGTGTGTTGTTGCGGTATAGTACGGTGCGGTGTGCGCAGGTGGTGCTGGGGCTGACGGAACGCGCGTGCGTATGTGTTGTTGTTGCGGTATAGTACGGTGCGGTGTGCGCAGGTGGTGCTGGGGCTGACGTAACGCGCGTGCGTGTGTGTTGTTGCGGTACAGTACGGTGCGGTGTGCGCAGGTGGTGCTGGAGCTGACGGATACGCGCGTGCATGTGTGTTGTTGCGGTACAGTACGGTGCGGTGTGCGCAGGTGGTGCTGGGGCTGACGGAACGCGCGTGCGTGTGTGTTGTTGCGGTACAGTACGGTGCGGTGTGCGCAGGTGGTGCTGGGGCTGACGGAGCGCGCGTGCGTGTGTGTGTTGTTGCGGTATAGTACGGTGCGGTGTGCGCAGGTGGTGCTGGGGCTGACGTAACGCGCGTGCGTGTGTGTTGTTGCGGTACAGC